AGGGAGCTAGGATCACACCACTGCACTCCAGCCTCGATGAGAGAGCAAGACCCTGTCTCTAAAAATATAAATAAATAAATCAACCCCTGATTAACACATTTGCTCACCCTTCCTTATCACAGACAGTGCACACTGGATTCTTTTGGAAATGCGAAGAATCACAGGAGAAGGCAGGAGAAAGATATGCTCCTGGCTGAGTCTCCTAAAAAGATGGTTAACTGCCACACTTCACAAGCAGGGCTGGGGGGCGGGTAAGGGCTACTGACTTACCCTTGCCTCAGTTTCCTCAGCTGTAAACTGGGGGTAATAAGAGCTCCCACATGTGTAGGGAGGCTGGGGGATTCAGTAAGAAGCAGCTAACAAGAACACCAACAATTCTTATGTGTTTAGGCACTGTATGTCAGGGGCTATTCTAGGAGCTTGGAAAACATTAGGCAATATACTCAATCAAGTCATGCGTGTCGGCTGGGCACAGTGGCTTATGCCGCTAATCCCAGCACTTCAGGAGGCTGAGCCCGGCAGATCACTGAGGTCAGGAGTTTGAGACCAGTCTGGCCAACACGGCGAAACCCCGTCTCCACTAAAGATACAAAAATTTGCTGAGTGTAGTGTTGCACAGGTGTGATCCCAGCTACTCCGGAGACTGAGGCAGCAGAATCACTTGAACCAAGGAGGCAGAGGTGGCAGTGAGCAGAGATGGCGCCACTGCACTCTAGCCTGGGTGACAAAGACAGACTCTGTCTCAAAAATAAAAAAGAAAGAAAGAAAGAAAGAAAAAAAGTCACGCCTATCCAGTTCACCAGATTAAGTCAGTAATGTATCAGCACCTTCGCCAATACTGCTACCAGAGAAACAGCTGCGTGTGTGTTTCAGTGGGATCTCAGGGGAAACCCCTCCACTGTAACTGAGATGTCAGTCTCCATAGGAGACCAGATCTTTTTGGTAAGAAAAGGTCTGCAGAGCAGCACGGGGTTCAAGCTCCACATTTGCTGGGGGACTATGGGCCAGTGATGGGCCACCCCACTCTGAAAAATAAAGCAAGTCATAGTGCCTGCAGCTCGTGGTACAAACATACAGACACCATGGACATGAAGTGCCTGGCGGCCAAAAGGTCTGCAGTCAGCTGTATAGAAACTAAGCTGCTGTTGTTGTTGATAGGGGGTGATAGTGTCACCCACAGATTGTCCTCTGTCCATGAAGCTTCTCCAGCCTTGGGCTTTCTCAACCTCTGATGGCACCACGTCCTGCCAATGAGTGGCAGAACAGGGAGGTGAGTAGGACAGAATCCAGGATTGAGGTGGGGAGAGGATGGGGTGGCCGGGAGGAGAGGGTGGGAGAGATTTGGAGAGAAAAGTCAGTGCATGGAGGTGAAGAGAGGGTGGAGACTGAGGGACAGAGTAGGGGGAGCAGCTCCCAAGTCCCTGAGGACACCTCCCTCATTGGCTTCCCACTCTGGGTTCTGATTGGCAGCTTCTGTCCTCAGGGACCCCAGGCCTCCCACATGCACTCTCATCTCTGTGCCCCCAACTCCTGGGCTGAGCACTGCCTGTGCCCCACCCACCCACAGGCCCCTCGCCCCCTGCTCCCCATCTGCTCTCACCGTGACCTTCCGCTGTCTCTGCTCCAGCCGCAGGGTGAAGTTTCCCACCTGGACCGTGATCACCCTGGTCACACTGACTCGCCCATTACCCCAGGCCACGTTCTCCTGCAGGACGGCAAACCGATGCAGGCCAGGCCGGGTGCCGCAGGTCTGAGCCAGCACATACACGCAGGTGCCCATGAAGTCGAAGCGGCGGCCATCGAAGGTGGTGTAGTGGGGGTCTCCCGACGCCTGGCAGGTGGCAGAGCCCACGGCCACACAGCCCAAGCTGCCACCGGATGGCCGGCAGGTCTCATGCGGGCCGCAGCTGGAGGGTTGACAGGATACCAGGCCACCCTCCCGGCAGTGGCAAAGGGAATCACACCCGGGGCCAGGGTAGAAGGTCTGGCCCAGCGGGTAGTAGCGGTCATCGTGGAGGCAGCCACACTGGCCCACAGGCACACAGGTGTCACCACTGAGCACGAAGCCAGCATCGCAGACACAGCCTTCACGGCAGGCCGACTCACAGCCCTCGGGGGCCGAGACGCTCGGGCAGCTCACGGGGCAGGAGTCACCGCAGAGCTCATAGTGGCTGTGGGCAGGACACTGGAAGGCTGTGGGGACAAGGTGGGCATGAGCCATGTAGGCATTCGAGTCGGGGTCTGGGGAGGCCCTGAGTGGGAAAACTCCTCAGGTCAACCTGGCTGTCTCTGGGTATGCACATGTGATCCAGGACATCTAACTGGGGGACTCAATGTGGGACCTACAATGGGAGGGGACACGCCCACGTCTCTCTGACCAAATATTTCTAAAGATCAAATGACTCTGCTTGCCTGATTTATTTTGAGACAGGCTCTCACTCTGTCTTACCCAGGCTGGAGTGCAGAGGCCCAATCACAGCTTGCTGCAGCCTCCACCTCCACCTCAAGCAATCCTCTGGACTCAGCCTCCCGACTGCCTGGGACTACAGGGGTGAGCCACCACATCCGGCTGATTTATTATGATTTTTTGTAGAGATGGGGTCTCACTATGTCAGCCAGGATTACCTGGGTGAAATGGATCACTATTATCTATTCGGGTTATGCAAGATCAGAACCGACTATGGGTATCTCAGGGTGTGAATGTGACTGGGGTATGGGGCCACATGTATCTCAAGGTATGACTCTGCCTGAGGGCACCCAGCTGTGGGTGTCTGACCTGGAGCATCTCCCAGAGTCCTTCGGACATGGTCTGTCTAAGGCTGTGCCTGGGTGAAGTTGGCAGGATACCTGTGACCAGGAGACCTACTTGAAGGGAACTGCCTAGGACTATCTAACTATGCATCTGTGTGGATCTGCCCAGGGCTATGTCAGGATCCTGATTCTTTCTGAGTGTATCTGACCAGTTAGTATAAAATCTAAGCAGATACCACTGAAGGCATGCGACTAATTCTATATGACTAGGTGTATTTCAGTGTGTGCAACAGACCAGGGCCCTGTGATCAGCTGTAACTCACTAGGTCTTCCTAACCAAGGGTACCCTGCTACGTGATTGAGGCAGGGTCAGTCAT